GCAAATAAAGATGCCAACATTGTAATGTTCTTGTATACAAAGCAATGGTATGTCCACATTTTTAGGTATTGCCTAATATTCAGATAGATCTTTATAGAGCAATTCTTTGGTGCCATGCTGCAAGGCATACATGCTTCTCTACATTATCTGTCATTCCTGTCTTAAAATGAAATATGCAATTTTGATATTGATAGACGGGAGTCATTAAACCTTACACTTTGGGGAAAGGTGAACACTTTCAAAATGAATATTATTCCCAGATTAATTTTTATTCTGAGAGGAATCCCGGTTCATATACCTAGAAAATATCCCATATACTACAGGATTCTTTGATTCCAAGAATATAGCAGAAAATGCAACTACCAATTAATGCAGAAGAATGTGGTTTTCTGAATCTGGAGCTATATAATCATACTTATCTATTATCAAATATTAAATATTGGAAATTAAGAATTGGTGTTAATTTTCCAATTTGGATAACTTTGGAGTTTAAATATATATTGCTTTTGATTGGATGGACAGTATGAGAATCAAAATACACTAGAACTCTAGTATGTCTGGAAACAATTATGTCAGTTAGAAGTTATGAAATGTAATGTCTATTAAAAGAAGATTTGACCCCTTTTTTCATGCTAGATTGACTTTATGGGAAAACTGAATTTTAAAAATTGGTAAATTTTGATGGAAGCGGGCATGTTAGTAGAATAATAGAATAACTTTATTGTCACTTTGAATGTACACTAATTAGCATACATTAAAATGAAATTTTGTTGCATACAGCTCTCAAAAGGTCACCACCTCCAATAAACACCACATAAACATGACTAAATAAATAAATACAAAATTATGCATATACCCACATATATTATATGATACAGAGAAACAACACAGTCTAATCTGGATGTATACATGTACATGGAGAGAAAAACGAAACTTGCGAGTTTACCAGACAGATGGCATAGGGCAGTGATCCCCAACCTTTTTGACGCCGCGGCCCGGTACCAGCATCAGCTGGGCGCTGTGGCCCGGTACCGGCATCAACTGGGCGCCGCCATCTTTTTTTGACGAAAAAGTGCTTCCGGTGACCTCACCGGAAGCACTTTTTCGTCAAAAAAGATGGCGGCGCC